TGGTGAGAGGGGTAGAGAAGAATGGGGGGTAAGAAAACAAACATGATTTGGGATTTTCATGATTGTTTTTGACATTCCTCTTTAAACTCATTCGTACTGTTGATATTATGCTCATGTAAAAAAATAATTATGTCTTTTTTTTACATGAAAACATTAAAATTTGCATTAAAAAAATACTATCACTCAATTTACATAATGATTTTTTTCATGTTTGCCCAGACGTCTGTTTTCATGTTTGTCGATGATTGGTGGTGAGCGGGGTAGAGAAGAATGGGGGGTAAGAAAACAAACATGATTTGGGATTTTCATGATTGTTTTTGACATTCCTCTTTAAACTCATTCGTACTGTTGATATTATGCTCATGTAAAAAAATAATTATGTCTTTTTTTTACATGAAAACATTAAAATTTGCATTAAAAAAATACTATAGCGTGTTATTAAATTTTTTTAAATCAAATTAAATGGTTTTTATGTTAAAAATTTAATTTTGTTTTTATTACGAATAAGTAATTAAAAAGGATTATACAATTAAACATCAAAAAAAGACATGCATAGTTGCATGTAAAAAATCACCGTATAAATGTTCATGATTTTTTGGAAGATTCTCAAAAGAGAATTGGAAAAAACAGACGTCTGAAAAGTCTTCATGTAAATTGCGCCTATAGCGTGTAATTAAATTTTTTTAAATCAAATTAAATGGTTTTTATGTTAAAAATTTCATTTTATTTTTATTACGAATAAGTAATTAAAAAGGATTATACAATTAAACATCAAAAAAAGACATGCATAGTTGCATGTAAAAAATCACCGTATAAATGTTCATGATTTTTTGGAAGATTTTCAAAAGAGAATTGGAAAAAACAGACGTCTGAAAAGTCTTCATGTAAATTGCGCCTTATATGTGATATACATACACAGGAGCGGATCCATGGGGGAAAAAGGGTAAATTTAAACTTTTTCGTCCTTCAAATGGTACTATAATATTGAACATGCAGAATTCTGACTGAATAAGAATCCGCACAAGAATCAAACGTTTTAAAGTTTCTACAGTGGGGATCTGAAACAAATGACACACAGTTCTTATAAAATGAGAATTTATAAAAGGGAGATTTTTGGTACTTAGTACTTAACTATAAAAGTAATAAAAATTTTATACTTAATTTTCATTGGGTAGCGAGGCACCCAGGTTACACTAGTACTATATATTTAGTGACCTTATATTTACATTTAATTTTAGCGCGTTTTGAGTAAATGGACAGCGCGTTTTGGTATAAAGTAGTTGACAACGCTGATAAGTCCCCAAATTTGAGGTCTTATTTCATTTTTGTTTTGGGGTTTTTTAAGGTTTTTGTGATTTTTTTCACATGTCTGACAAATAAACTATATTGAAATTTAGTATCATATGAAAGATCTTTGGGAGACGATTTCAATTTTTAAATTTGTATACAACTCCAAAATTATTATATGTAAATGTCGTATTTATCGGAAAATTTTTAAGTTATTAAAATTTTTGCACAGAATTATTTAATGTAATTAATTGAAATTGTTACATTATAAACCTCATACAACATACCGAAATGGTTTTTTCTGTTTTTCGAAATTCGTTATGTTTTGTATTTTATTTTAATATTTTAAACTCTATTTTGTCCCAGTTTTTCTGCTAACTATATTTATCTAACGTACATAATATGTACATCAGCATACGAGTAATTTCATTAGCTTTACAATGATATATAACACTTTACGGTTTCATTCTATTATCAATCAAATTTTTCAGTTTAACTGAAATATTAACACAATTTATCCCAAACATCTACTTATTAGTTATGCTTGCTTTTTAAATAACGGTTTCTATGTTATTGTCTACATTATTTCGCAATGTTTTGGTAGCGTACCCAGGCATCGATAAATTTAAATAAAATTTGATCTACACTATCGGACAAAATAAAGTGCAAAAGTGCTCATGATATATTCTTTCAGCGAAAAATCTGTTAAATGATTACTGAATATGCTATTTTTTTAAAATTTATTTAGTTTATATACAATGCTACAAAAATGACAATAAAACAGAATCATTGCACCTAAAATTTTTCTGTATAACATCCAAAATTAAAGTAAATTCACCTTTTTGTCGGACAAAATAAAGTGTAAATTTTATATATCATTATTTAAATTTTTTGTATATCAAAATTTTGGTTCTGATTTGAATATCTGGATCTACTTAAGCCATTTTTGTAATTTTTTACGGTACAAATTAGGACTCATCTGACTATCTACGCAAATTTGTGCTAAAAAATACAAAATTAAATACTAAAACCGAAAAAAAAAAAAATTCAATGCTTTTAAATGTGTTGGTGAAAGTTTGAACGTATGGGTCAGTTGACTCTTCGTATGTGTTTAATTTTTAATGTTAGCTGTGGGGAACCTAGGGGAAATTTATTCAGAAAGCTCTAGTGAACACTATGTGAGCATATTACAGTCAAATCTTAAGATCAGTGCCTTCGAAATGGACTTGGGCAACTTTATATCTCGGCAAGATAATAAGCTTAAGCGCTTGATAAAGTTAAAAAATAGCATTACTGTAGGAAATAACACTGAAAAATTGGAATAAGTTGCTCAGAACACCGCCCTAAATCCAATAAATTAATTTTGGACCACAATTGATGAAAAAATTCCGATGAAATAGTGATCAAAAACGAATTTCTTTTGAAAATAATCATATGGGGAAAGCAAGGGGAAGGAAAGGCGATTGCGAATAACAATGGTGAAAAAAATTACCAAAATGGCTTAAGTAGATCCAGATATTCAAATCAGAACCAAAATAGATAAAAAATTTTGATATGCAAGAAATTTAAATAATGATATATAAAATTTACACTTTATTTTGTCCGACAAAAAAATTAATTTACTTTTATTTAAAAAGTTTCACAGAAAAATTTTGAGTACAATAATTTAGTTTCATTGTTATTATTGTAGCATTGAATATTAACTAAATGATTTTGAAAAAAATTTCCATATTCAATAATCATTTAACCGATTTTTCGATGAAGGAATATAGCATGAGTACTTTTGCACTTTATTTTGTCCGATAGTGTAGATTGAATTTTGGAAAACGGAAAAAAACGTTTCGGTAGATTTTATTGAGGATTATTGTTCATTAAATTCAACGAATTTTATTAAATTAATCTATGTTAAAATGTAAAAAATCTGAAAATTTTAAGAAAAATTATAAAATTTCGATTACTTTTACTATTACCATTGATGTGCCTTTGAAAGCGTCTCTCAAGGACCTTTCTTATGACACCAACATTTTATATCTTTCCTTTGGAAGAAATATGAAAAAACAATCATAAAAACCTCAAAAAAGGCCATATTTATCCTTTGATCCAGCTCGCCAAATATTGTCCCCAGGACAAAAATTTTGAGAAACGCTATCTTATAATCAATTAAACTTTAATTTTAGTCGGGAACATCGACACCTTATTTTTCCTCCATACAAAAGGGGCCACCCTAATGTCTGTTCGCGTACTCGATAATTTGTAACAATTTGCAACAATTGTTACTGCATTCTGTTCGCGTACTTTTGAAAACATACAACGAGAGAGTAAGAGAGCGATAAAAATGACAGTTCGTTGATAGAGAATTTTTTGATTTTACTGGATATTTTCTCCCCAGTAAAAATATCCAACATATGTTCACAACATATGGTTGAAATATGAATACGTAAACAAACCAAAGAAAACGAAAATTTGTAAATTTTAAATTTTTTGAAAGAAATATTTAAATAAATAACACACGAATATTAAACAAGTAAGAGTGCTATATTCGGCTGTGCCGAATCTTATATACCCTTCACCAGAGTGTTTTTAAAAAATCATTTTCCCGACTATATTATAGCAATAGCAAAACATAATGAACAACAACAACGCTAAACGATATAAACACACAAAAAACAAAATACACAAGGCAGTAAAACCAACAGACATCTAAACATACGAAACGAAATACAAAAAAACAAAAACAAAATACACAACGCAATGAAACCAACAGACATCCAAACATACGAAATTCAATACACCAAGAAAACAAAAACAATATACACAAGGCAATGAAACACACAGCCATCCAAACATACGAAACGAAATACTCAAAAAAACCAACACAAAATACAAAGGCAATGAATAAGCAGTGTTGTTGTTGTTTATTTTTTATGAAATTTTCAGAGGTTGTCTCGAATTTTTGCTTATATCTCCGTTGTTTATGAACGGATTTTGCTGATTTTAAATAGGAAACTTCTCGAAAGCATGTCTGATAGAATTATTGAAGATTTGGATCCCGAAGATATCTGGGGTCTTCAGAAAACTGATTTCAACAGACAGACAGACGGACATGGCTTAATCGACTCCGCTATCTATAAGGATTCAGAATATATATACTTTATGGGGTCGGAAAATTATATTTTGGAAATTGCAAACGGAATGACAAACTTATATATACCCTTCTCAAGGGTATAAAAATTATTTGTAATTAGATTTATTATAATTTTATTTATAATTTTGTTTTTAAAAGAGTTCGTTGTGAAAAATCATAACAAATATTTGTCAATCTAGCGTTTTTAAAACCACTTAGTTTTTCTTTCTCTTAGCGATTTTGTGTAAATTTTTAGATTACTAATATGTTTGTAACATGAAGTTTTAAAACAATATATTTGTAATGATATTACATGTTTTATTAACTTTAAATATCCATTTATTTATAAGAAAAATCATAGTTTCAATTGTTTGTTTTTTTTTTTGTATTTTTTAGCGATTAAGATTTCAGTAAAAGGGCATTACTTTACTTTATAAACAAAAATTTGAAATTTTTTTACTCGCGAACTTTTTTGAATATTTTTTTGATTGAGAGTAAATTAAAAATTACTCTCTATCATAAAGTTACTGGATATTTTTACCGGAAAGTACGCGAACAGACCTAATAATAAATGTTTTTTGTCTTTAAGTATTTGCAGTACAAATTCCGAAGCAATTAATAAATGAAACTCCCAAAGAAACGCAATTGAAGGCAGTCAGAGAATTGGTTCACCGGACCCTGCTGGAAAAAGATTTACTGTTTGAAATCGATATAAACAAAAATTTTGAATTTCGCAGCTTTCAGGTAAATAAAAGACATATTTGAACTACATATTTGTATAGATACTAGGGTGATCGATTATTCGACATTTTCCAAAACCCGATTTTCGAATAGTTGAACAATATATAACAATAAAAGACATATTTGAACTACATATTTATATAGATACTAGGGTGATCGGTTATTCGACATTTTCCAAAAACCGATTTTCGAATAGTTGACATTTGAAAAAAACCGGTTGATATTTTTCAAATTCAGAAAAAAACGGGTTTTTATTGTAATAACAAAATCTATTTTATTTTGAAAAAATTAATGTTTCTGTTTAAATTTGGTGGCCCGAACTGATTTTTAACAGTTTAAAAGATTATAAATTTACATCTAGTCGTCTGATTTACATTATTTCTTTAATGTAAAAAAGTGGGATACTTCTTTTAAACATAAGGAACTATATAATCCTAGCTTATTCTAATATCCCTGTTTAGACAATTTTCATAAGCATTCCAACACTTGCATAATATTTTAGCCGTAAATTAATTATTGTAATTGGAATATAATCTTAAGATTGATAAAATTTTATCAATCAGTTATTCCAACAAATTTTACAAATAAAATTTATTAATTAATTAGGAAAATCAAAAAAGTTTAACCAAAGGTGCGTTAGAAAAATATATTCTAGTTCCTGGACTTCAATATTGTTAAAATTTAGACGGGCTGTATTATTATTTACTTCAAAATTAGATTTAAGTAATCTTTAATTCAAGGACATATGAGTTATAAGTTTTATGATATGTTTCTCAAATAGTAACTGTTATAGTTATACCCTACACCACTATAGTGAGAAGAGTATTATGCGTTTGTGCTGATGTTTGTAACGCATTAAAATATTAGTACTATACCCACCTTAAAGTATACTGATCCACTCAGAATCACTTTCTGAGTCGATTTAACGATGTCCGTCCGTGTGTCCATGTAAACGTTGTTATCAAAGTACAGGTCGCAATTTTCAAGATAATTTGATGAAATTTGGAATACAGTTGTGCGATGAAAGTTCGCACAACTAAGTTTTATACAAGCCTTGATGACCTTGTCGAATTTCGAAATGATCGGACTTCACAAAGCCCCCTTCAGAAAGTGACTTGAATATCCGCAATTCATTTATTAGCACAGTTATTGCAATGAAATTTAGCACAGACAAATATTATATATATTATTTAAATATTATATAAATACAAATCTATCCAGCCCATTTTATCGGGATCGGTCCACATTTGCTCCTATCCCCAATATAAAGCCTCTTTTAGAAAATAAGTTTTTCTTCAATAAATTGCTTAAATAAATCGGAATCAAGGTAATATTAAAGATAAATGCATTATTATGAAAAATAAATCACATTTAATATTCATAACTGGTGTAGGGTATCATATAGTCGGCCAAGCCCGACTATACTTTCTTACTTGTTTAACTTTAATTTTATTTCTTATCCATAACTATTTGATTTCAATTAATATTTTTTTCATTGTTTGGTAACAGTTATAGACAAATATTTCTTAAAAACAACTATTATATTTAAATAAATATATTATTCGCCTTTTTATATTATTTATTGATATAAAATAAGTAAGTCAGTTATGTCATAACAGTACTTTTATGTTTTACTTTACGTTCTTACAAACTTTTTTATTGCATCGCTTAAAAATACCAGTATAATTCGACATAATGAAGTTTTATAACACCCAATTTACACGATGATTTTTTTTCATGTTTGCCCAGACGTCTGTTTTCATGTTTGTCGATGATTGCTGGTGAGCGGGGTAGAGAAGAATGGGGGGTAAGAAAACAAAGGCGCAATTTACATGAAGACTTTTCAGATGTCTGTTTTTTCCAATTCTCTTTTGAGAATCTTCCAAAAAATCATCAACATTTATACGGTGATTTTTTACATGCAACTATGCATGTCTTTTTTTGATGTTTAATTGTATAATCCTTTTTAATTACTTACACCCAATTTACACGATGATTTTTTTCATGTTTGCCCAGACGTCTGTTTTCATGTTTGTCGATGATTGCTGGTGAGCGGGGTAGAGAAGAATGGGGGGTAAGAAAACAAACATGATTTGGGATTTTCATGATTGTTTTTGACATTCCTCTTTAAACTCATTCGTACTGTTGATATTATGCTCATGTAAAAAAATAATTATGTCTTTTTTTTACATGAAAACATTAAAATTTGCATTAAAAAAATACTATAGCGTGTAATTAAATTTTTTTTAAATCAAATTAAATGGTTTTTATGTTAAAAATTTCATTTTATTTTTATTACGAATAAGTAATTAAAAAGGATCATACAATTAAACATCAAAAAAAGACATGCATAGTTGCATGTAAAAAATCACCGTATAAATGTTCATGATTTTTTGGAAGATTCTCAAAAGAGAATTGGAAAAAACAGACGTCTGAAAAGTCTTCATGTAAATTGCGCCTTATTCGTAATAAAAACAAAATTAAATTTTTAACATAAAAACCATTTAATTTGATTAAAAAAAATTTAATAACACGCTATAGTATTTTTTTAATGCAAATTTTAATGTTTTCATGTAAAAAAAAGACATAATTATTTTTTTACATGAGCATAATATCAACAGTACGAATGAGTTTAAAGAGGAATGTCAAAAACAATCATGAAAATCCCAAATCATGTTTGTTTTCTTACCCCCCATTCTTCTCTACCCCGCTCACCACCAATCATCGACAAACATGAAAACAGACGTCTGGGCAAACATGAAAAAAATCATCATGTAAATTGGGTGAAACATGATTTGGGATTTTCATGATTGTTTTTGACATTCCTCTTTAAACTCATTCGTACTGTTGATATTATGCTCATGTAAAAAAATAATTATGTCTTTTTTTACATGAAAACATTAAAATTTGCATTAAAAAAATACTATAGCGTGTAATTAAATTTTTTTAAATCAAATTAAATGGTTTTTATGTTAAAAATTTCATTTTATTTTTATTACGAATAAGTAATTAAAAAGGATTATACAATTAAACATCAAAAAAAGACATGCATAGTTGCATGTAAAAAATCACCGTATAAATGTTCATGATTTTTTGGAAGATTCTCAAAAGAGAATTGGAAAAAACAGACGTCTGAAAAGTCTTCATGTAAATTGCGCCTAAGTTGGAACCAAAATCTGTGTGGCTACGTCGTCAATTATCTATATATATAAAAATGAATGTGTGTTTGTTTGTATGTTTGAACGTTATAGACTACTAAACGGCTGAACCGATTTTCTTGAAATTTTCACAGCGTATTTCTGCATGTCTGGAATAGGTAATAGGCTACTTTTTGTTTCGAAATTTCAAGTGGGCGATGAGCCACGCCCACATTAAGAAAATATAAAATCCGTATATTTGAGATAATATAACAGTTAGAGTCCTCAAATTTTGTCGGAGCCACTTTAGTGTCAATATGATCATTTAGGACAAAAAGTAGGCGGACTAGCATTAGGGGGCGTGGTACCTCCCATATAAATTAAATACAAAAATTCGTTTATCTGGGAAACTAATAGAACTAAATTCTTACGGCTGTATTTATAAAAACTTATTTTAGGTTTATTAAACAATTTTAGGCAAAATTCAGGAAAATCGTATTTATAAACGTGAAATAGCTTAAAACACCTTCAATAAACCATTGACAATTAGAAGAATTTTATTATAGGCTCGACCCTTCTTTAAGCCAACAATAAGTTGATTTTTAACAATTTTTTTCTCAGATAAAGATTTTTCCGGTAATTTTAGGTTGATTTCGAAAACTAATTATGGTTTCCTTTAAAATAAAATCTAAAAATTCTAATTTTAACGTTTACAAATTTGTAAATAAAATCCCAGAAAATTTTTAAACGATTATATTTTGAGGAAAAAACTCAAATCTAGGCATTATTGGATTAATGCATGAATATTTGACAATATTCCAATTGTCCAGCACTATTTTTAGGCAATTTGGAAATGCCCGTCTGTCAACCAAATGATGGACAAAATCATTTGATTTGGCTTTTTCAAAGTTTGTTGGTTAAATATAATGCCATAAAGTAATTAACCATGTAAATTATATTGATTAGTGTTATACTAATGCAAAATATATTCGCCGGCATTAAAATTAGTCAAATATCAAAGAAATTTATCAATATTTGCAAAAATTTATCAAAAATTACAAGGAAAATAAGTTAAAATAAGAAAATGTGTCATAGTGATGTATATTTTGTCGCAAAATATCCGTTATTCGGATATTTTAATATTAATAAAAAATATATGTTATATTTATACATATATTTATTTTTCTTAAAAGTTTGTTTTTATTGTCAAAAATCTATTATAAACAAAAATATGAAATTAAGAAAACCGAATCAACGAATATTTTATCCTAATTGTACGCAACTCTAACACATAAAATGACAGCCATATTGTACAGTGCTGCCAACTTAAACATAAATCAGCACAATAGTTAATATACGTTTATTATTAGTTTATGAATATCATAATTTTATTAATGGTTTTTAAGGCTAGAGTGTGCTTTAACTATTGAGTGCATTAAAAGCAAAATAAGATTTTTTTATAAATACAAGCGTTAAAACTTTGCACGAAGAACTTTAATATTCATCTGAACATTTTTAAAGAAAAAAGAGCGGACCTTCATCTGGGGGGCTTAGAGCCCCCATATGAATAAAATAGAAAAATTCGTATATCTGAGAAACTATTAGAGCTAGAATCTTTAAATTTTACTTGAAGAACTTTGACATTCATCTGAACATTTAGAGTATAACGGGCGGACTTCCAATGGAGTACTTGGTACCTCCCATATGAATTAAATACAAAATTTCGTTTAACTGGGAAACTAATAGAACTAGATTCTTAAAATTTTGAACAAATTATTTTAATATTCATCTGAATATTTTGGAGGCAAAAGGGCGGACTTTCATCCGGGGAGCATGAAGCCCCCACATGAATTAAATTCGTATATC